GGTGACGGGGTTGGTCGGCAAGTCGGAGTGGTGGTATCCAGTGGTCCCTGCGACAGTCATAATTTTTGAGTTCCTATTGTAGCACAAGGGGAAGCAAGCTCGACCTGGCTACTTACATTCAAGTTGTGAATGGAAACGGAATCTGATCTCCAATCCCCAACTGCAAGGGTAAATCCATCGCTGGATATCGAAACTCTAGAGCCATTGCTGCCGCTGCTGCCATTGTTGCCACCTTGGTCTACCCAAATACCATCAGCCAAGGTATAGATCTTTACAGGTAAAGAGGCGTCGTTTCCCCGTGAACCAACGGCAAGAATGGAGCCAGAAGATGATAGGGAAACCGATTGCCCATAAACGACGTCTTCATCATCGACCTTTAAAGTTTGGCCAACTTGGATCCATTCGAAATCCTTCCATTCAAACACTTGCACCCTGCTATACAATCCGAAGGCGACAATGTTCCCATCGCCAGAGATAGCCACCGAAACCTCGAGAGAGTACCCCCCAGAAGAGCCATCGAAATTGAGGCCGCGCTTTGTCCAACTTCCCCCGCTCCACTCGAACACTCGTACAAACCTACGATCACCAATTACAACAATCAGCCCATCTTCGGAAAGAGCAAGATCAGCGCCTGCTTGATCCTCACTAAATTCTCCATTCATATCGTCTCCCACTTTCAGGAACGACGAACCATCCCACTCGTAGACTCGGGCATTACCGGCGAAAGCATCACGGTACCGATCACCAATAGCCACCCTCGATCCATCCTTGGAGAGCGATACTGAATAGCCGAACATACTATCCTCCGCTTCACCTTGAATCACACCCATTAGCGCCCAAGCCCCATTGATCAGCTCGTAGACAGCCACACTTCCTACACTTCCAGACCCTGTAGCACCAATTGCCACTCGATCTCCGTCCTTGGAAAGAGACACATCGTAGCCAAAGTCATCTCCTGTTGAATTTCCAAACAAGGCAAGGTTGGTCCATTCGTTCCAAGATGATCCACCACACGAACCCTGCTCCTTGCGGAAGAACCGAACACTTCCGTTTCGAACAAACCCATTGTTGGAACTACGAGAGTCACTTGCAGCAAGAAAGGTGCCGTCTGCGGACAGGGAATGAGACCTGCCGTCGGTCTGTTGAAAGGTAACTGCATGGTCCCAGGTTAGTGTTGAACCATCGTTATCTTGCAATAACTGGCGGTTGAAAGTCATTTGTGGAAAGTCCATATTGCTCTTCCTGATTTTCCCTTCTTGGTTGGCAGCAACATACGAAGGCTGATTCTTGTTGGTCAAGCCAACAATAGCACTTCCATGATTCTCGTTGCCTGCCCCTTGTTGAAGAGACAATAAGGATTGAGCTCGAACGTTCTGGGGAAAGGAATGTAGGAGCAATAACAAAGCCGAGAGCACTACCTTCGCGAAGATGAGTACCATGATGGTCTATGCAGTGGCGATCATGTAAAATATGTGTCTATTCCACATCATACTGGGCCATCACACATATCCAAAACGCGTTGTCAAAGAGTCAGGGACGGCCGGGAAAATCAATATTTACTCCCAAGAATTGTATGCTAAATTTCTATTTCCCGGCCGTTCCAGTCAAAGGATCGTGGAAAAAAGGGGGGATCGATGTTTCACATTTCCCCGTCTATATTACTACCTGTGTAAAAGTTTCAAAGCAATGCGAAGGCACAATCAAATCATCGCAATCTAAAAGGAATACATCGCAGGTGCTACGACTCGATGTATTCTGGATGGGAAGCCCAATTGGGCATTATCGCAGTCTTTCTACAGTCCGAATTCTTTCATCAAGAGCAACAGCAACAACAAACGCTTATCAGTGTGAACACAAGAAAGAATCTCATTATCGCCGTCATATCGTCACCATCTCCATCACATGCAAGAAGTCCGAGAAAATTCCAACGCTCAAGGGTCTACTGTCGGAAACAATGTCAGTCGATCTTCCAAGCGCCGTCAAGTGCGCATGGCCTTACTTTGCTGCTTTTTGATACTAGCCGCTGCAGCTGGGGCAGTCGTGGCAGTCTTGAAACTGAAGGATCCTGAAGATATCATTGACACTTCCTCCAACAACAACAACAAGACAACCCCGCACGTTACTTCCTCTGCTCCCACTGAATTGATCTCTAGTAATCCGACACATCGGCCAAGCCTACCTGGGTCTCGAACCACTTCTGCTCCAACACCGAATCCGAGTCTTGGACCTACATATCGACCTAGTAGTTCGGAACCATCAAGGTCGCCGACATCAAGTCCAACTCGACCATGTATTCAAAGTGACGCGGAGCTCTCGGATGCAGTTCGTGACTGGCTACAGGATTCTCAGATAAAGACAATAGTTGAGAACCAATATGGATCGATCGGCGACTGGTGCTTCGGTCCAAGTGTAACGAGTATGGAATCTCTGTTCCGAAGTCAGTCTACTTTC